AAAAAAAAAAAAAAAAAAAAAATACTACAAAAGATACTATAATAATGAAAATTTTGAAATACTTTGAGAATTACCAAAATCTGATGCAGAGACACAAAGTGAACACATGCTGTTGGAAAAATGGCACCAGTAGTCTTGTTTAATGCAAGGTTGCCACAGACCTTCAGTTTGTACAAAACACAATATCTGAGAAGTGCAATAAAAAATGATATGGCTGTCTACCTGCAATGGAATATCATTCAGCATTAAAAAAGGAAGTCCTGCTCTATGTGACAATGTGGATGAACCTTGAGGACATTATACTAAGTAAAATAAGCCAGTCACGGAGACAAATGTTACATGATGCCACGTATGTGAGGTATATGAAATAGAGTAGAATGCTGGTTGCCTGAGGCTAGGGGGAGGGCCAAATAGGGAATTGCTTTTCAGCAAGTATAAAGTTTTAGTTATGCAAGATGATGAAGTTCTACAGATCTGCTTTACAACATTGTGCTAATATTTAACATTACTGTATTTTGCACTTGTAAACGTGTTAAGAGGATAGATCTCATGTGAATTGTTCTTACTACAATTAAAATAAAAAAATAAAAGAGCTGAATGAAGTCATATAGTTGTGACCATAGCAATTTTTTTTACTAGAATTATGTCTCAGTTATTTAATTTCTTTTTGTCCCTTTTAGGTTTTCCTTTTTAATACGCTAAATATGTATTCCTTATATTTCTAGGAAAATGTTACAAGTATTTCAACCAGCCTTCTTTGAATGGTCCTATTTTCTCTGATTTCATACACCTTTATTATTCCAATCCCAGTCCTATCACTTATCATCTGGAGTTTATTTCTTCTCAACTTTTAAGAAATATAGCCTGTACCTGTGTTTGTGTCTTGTATTTATGGAACTGAAATGTAACTTACCACACCCCATCTTCCCAGAGATTCATCAGCTTGTTTTTACTAAGTAGTGTTTATGTTTGGATAGCTGCTTTGATTTAAGTTGCTCTTTGTTTTTAGTGAGAAAAAAATATAATACTGTTTATCAATGTACATGCATATAAATGTGTTTATTGTTTTTAAAATAAAATAAAAATAAAATAAAACACTCTTATTAATTGTTAATCAGATTTCCCTCTTGCAAATGAGGAAGATGAAGCTACTTCAAATGAGGTAAGGGAAGTCGGAAGAGAACTTTTTAATAGTCATTATTTTATAAAGGGATAAAATGTTTATAAATGGAGAAGTATTTATGGATAGAGAAAGGCATCCAAAAAGTTACTCAGTTGTTTCATAGTTTCTATTATGGCAATATCTGTATAGTTGCACTCTTGAAAGAGCCTTCTGCATAAAATATAGTAACATTTAAAAATATGAAGATGGGGGCAAAATGTGTTGAAGAAGAAAAGAAAGAGAAACAAGAAAAAAGTCTGAAATTCTACATAAGATCTTAGAAATGTATGCCATAGACTTAACTGCAGCTTTTAAATGATTGTCACCAAAATCTTTTAATTTGTCAAATTGTAAACTTTGTGCAGGAAACAATATTCTATAGTTTATAATAGAAATAAACAAAGCATAGAGTTTATATAATTTGCTTTTCGGCTAAATTTACGTAAGGTATTCATTCCGTAAAGCAGTGGATCCTCATGTAAACCAATGAAGAGTAAAATGTTCACTTATTGCTTGACAAATAGGATTTAATGATTTCCATTCTTGGGTCAGTGGCTCCCAGATACCAAATGAAGAGTCAGTACTTATCACTGTTTTCCCCAGTTCAAAGAGAGTAAAAGAAGATAATATAGAGAATTTTTCATAAAGCTAATTTATTTAACAGGCTATCCTTTATTTTACAATATTGTTCTTTGTACTGTGGTGCTATTAACATTCTCTTTATTTTCTTATATAGTTGTTATTTATGATATCGTTTCTTTTGCAATTTGCTATTAAAATTTCCTTTCTTTCATGATATATTAGTGACAGTATAATAACAGTAAAATGTCAGACCCTCAGATTTTTTATTTTGAGATGTTGCTGATTTATAAATTTGGATATGTGAGAACCACTGTTTATCATTTTTATGGATAGTATTCTACAGTTCATTGTTTCAGGCAAGTAAATAATTTCTCATGTTTATTAAGGAACATAAAATTGACAAATATTAATGGTAATTTGTTATGATAAAGGATAAGAGTACAATTAATTTTAAGTCATTTTCTTGATTTAGAAAACTTTCTAGTCAATATTGATTAATTGGTAGCTTGTTTTATTGCTGTATTTTCTAGTTACTGGATAATGATTATGAGACAGACCTGACTATGCCAACTTTGAACCAATCGGACCAAGATAATTCAACTTCTGATGCTGCTAACAGTGATGAATCAACACCTCCACTCACAGAAGTGCACCCATTGTGCACCATTTCTAGCCAGGAAATAGTAAAAGCAGGCAAAATACCACCTTTAGACGAACATCAATCAGAATGCATTCCAGACAGAAAAATGGAAAATATCTTATTTCCACCAGAAGTAAAATTAAAAGATAACCATTCAGGCATTTTAAAAGCAGACTCATCACTATCAAAGGTAAATTTGAGAAGTATATGTACAAATCCAGAGAGAAGGAACTTAAATTCATCTCTAACAGAAATTAGCTGCTAAAACAACAATCTGAACTTAGCTGAAAGGGAGAACACAAGCTTAGTTTTCCCAGAATCAAAATTATAAGGTTGCTTTCAAAGCCAGGACCCAAAAGAAGACCTTGAGCTCAAGGTGCCTGCCCTTATACTAGAAATATAAGACTAGGGATACAAAATAATCTATTTTTAAAAATTAAATACAAATAAATTGAAAATGCATTCAAATGTCTCCAAGTGGAAATGTGTCTAAGTATATTAAATATTTCTACTTATCAATCAAGAAATGAGGATAGAAACCTTTCAAGAAAAGCAAAGTGATTTGAGATGCCAGTAATACAAATTAATCTCATGGGTTGCTAATTCAGCTGAAAGTGTAACAACAATAACAAAATGTAAATTCAAAGGAAATTTGAAAGCCTGGGAAGTTATTTCAGTGGAATTTCTTAATAGAACTATTATATTATAGGAAATAACATATGTTCTCCTAGGTGAGGGGAGGAAGGCAGCAAATCACACTGCCACGTGTGTACCTATGCAACAATCTTGCATGTTCTTCACGTGTACCCCAAAACCTAAAATGCAATCAAATAAATAAATGGGAAAAAAATGAGAATGAGTATGAATTTAAAGGTACACCAAATTCAAGACTTTCTCAAAATGACAATCACTATACTTATATCTTTACATCTTTTTAATTTATTTTATTTTACTTTAAGAACTGGGGTACATGTGCAGGTCATGCAGGGTTGTTGCATAGGTGCATACTATATCCGACATTTCTCCTCATGTTATCCCTCCCCACCCTTCCCACCCATTGCTGTCCCTCCCCTAACCCCCCCCAACTGTCCCCAGTGTGTGATGCTTCTCTCCCTGAGTCCACATGTTCCCATTGTTCAACACCCACCTATGAGTGAGAACATGCGGTGGGTGTTGATTTTCTATTCTTGTGTCAGTTTGCTGAGAATGATGGTTTCCAGACTCATCTAAGTCCCTACAAAGGACACGAACTCATTGTTTTTTATGGCTGCATTGTATTCCATGGTGTATATGTGCCACATTTTCTTTGTCCAGTCTATCATTGATGGGCATTTGGGTTGGTTCCAGGTCTTTGCTATTGTAAACAGGGCTGCAGTGAACATACGTGTGCATGTGTCTTTATAGTAGAACGATTTATTGTTCTTTGGCTATATACCTAGTAATGGGATTGCTGGGTCAAATGGAATTTCTATTTCTAGACCCTCGAGAAATCCCCACACTGTCTTCCATCATGGTTGAACTAATTTACACTCCCACCAATAGTGTAAAAGTGTTCCTATTTCTCCACATCCTCTCCAGCACCTGTTGTCTCCAGATTTTTTAATGATCACCATTCTGACTGGTGTGAGGTGGTATCTCAATGTGGTTTTGATTTGCACTTCTCTAATGACCAGTGATGATGAGCATCTTTTCATATGTTTGTTGGCCTCATATATGTCTTCTTTTGAAAAGTATCTGTTCATGTCCTTTGCCCACTTTTGAATGGGGTTGTTTGTTTTTTTCTTGTATATCTGTTTTAGTTCTTTGTAGATTCTGGATATCAGCCCTTTGTCAGATGGGTAGACTGCAAAATTTTTTTTCCCATTCTATTGGTTGCCGGTTCACTCTAATGATGGTTTATTTTGCTGTACAGAGGCTCTGAATTTTAATTAGATCCAATTTGTCTATCTTGGATTTTGTTGCCTTTGCTTTTGGTGTTTTAGTCATGAAGTCCTTGCTTATGCCTCTGTCCTGGTTGGTTTTGCCTACGTTTTGCTTAGTGTTTTTATAGTGTTAGGTTTTGTGTTTAGATCTTTAATCCATCTGGAGTTAGTCTTAGTGCAAGGTGACAGGAAGGGGTCCAGTTTCTGCTTTCTGCACATTGCTAGCCAGTTTTCCCAACACCATTTATTAAACATGAAATCCTTTCCCCATTGCTTATTTTTGTCAGGTTTGTCAAAGTTCAGATGGTTGTAGATATGTGGTGTTGCTTCTGAGGCCTCTGTTCTGTTCCATTGGTCTGTGTCTCTGTTTTGGTACCAGTACCATGCTGTTTTGATTACTGTGGCCTTGTAGTATAGTTTGAAGTCTGGCAGTGTGATGCCTCCAGCTTTGTTCTTTTTGCTTAGGATTGTCTTGGCTATGCAGGCTCTCTTGTCATTCCATATAAAATTTAAAGTGTTTTTTTTCCAGTTCTGTGAAGAAGGTCATTGGTAGCTTGATGGGGATAGTGTTGAATCTATAAATGACTTTGGGCAGTATGGCTGTTTTCACGATATTGATTTTTCCTAACCATGAGCATGGAATGTTTTTTCATCTGTTTGTGTCCACTCTTATTTCGTTGAGCAGTGGTTTGTAGTACTCCTTGAAGAGGTCCTTTACATCCTTTGTTAGTTGTATTCCTAGGTATTTTAAACTCTTTGTAGCAATTGTGAATGGGAGTTTGCTCTTTATTTGGTTCTCTGTTTGCCTGTTATTGGTATAGGAATGCTTGTGATTTCTGCACATTGATTTTGTATCCTGAGACTTTGCTGAAGTTACTTATCAGTTTCAGGAGATTTTGGGCTGAGATGATGGGGTCTTCTAAATATACAATCATGTCATCTGCAAATAGAGACAGTTTGACTTCCTCCTTTCCTAATTGAATACCCTTTATTTCTTTTTCTTGCTTAATTGCTCTGGCTAGAACTTCCAATATGATATTGAATAGGAATAGTGAGAGAGGGCATCCTTGTCTAGTGCCTGATTTCAAAGGGAATTCTTCCAGCTTTATCCTGTTCATTATGATATTGGCTGTAGGTTTGTCATATACAGCTTTTATCATTTTATGATACGTTTCATCGATATCTAGTTTATTGAGCGTTTTTAGCATAAAGGGCTGTTGACTTTTGTTGAAGGCCTTCTCTGCATCTATTGAGATAGTCATGTGGTTTTTGTCTTTGGTTCTATTTATAAGATGGATTACGTTTATGGACTTGCATATGTTAAACCAGCCTTGCATCCCCAAGATGAAGCCTGCTTGATCATGATGAATAAGCTTTTTGATGTGCTGTTGCATTTGGTTTGCCAGTATTTTATTGAAGATTTTTGTGTCAATGTTCATCATGGATATTGGCCTGAAGTTTTCTTTTTTAGTTGAGTCTCTGCCGGGTTTTGGTATCAGGATAATATTGGTCTCATAAAATGAGTTAGGGAGGATTCTCTCTTTTTGTATTGTTTGATATTGTTTCAGAAGGAATGGAATCAGCTCCTCTTTGTATGTCTGGTAGAATTTGGCTGTGAATCCATCTGGACCTGGACTTTTTTTGGTTGGTAGGCTATTGATTGCTGCCTCAACTTCAGCCCTTGTTATTGGTCTATTCACAGTTTCAACCTCCTCCTGGTTTAGTCCTGGTAGAGTACAAGTGTATAGGAATTCATCGATTTCTTCCAGGTTTACTGGTTTATGTGCATAGAGTTGTTTATAGTAATCTCTGATAGTGGTTTGTATTTCTGTGGCCTCAGTGGTGATATCCCCTTTATTATTTTTTATTGTATCTATTTTATGCTTCTCTCTTTTCTTTTTTATTAGTCTGGCTAGTGGTCTATTTTGTTGATCTTTTCAAAAAATCAGCTCCTGGATTTATTGATTTTTTGACGGGTTTTTTGTGTCTCTATCTTCTTCAGTTCTGCTCTGATCTTAGTTATTTCTTGTCTTCTGCTAGCTTTTGAGTTTTTTTGATCTTGCTCCTCTAGCTCTATTTTGATGATAGAGTGTCAATTTTAGATCTTTCCTTGTTTCTCATGTGGGCATTTGTTGCTATAAATTTTTCCTCTAGACACTGCTTTAAAGGTGTCCCAGAGATTCTGGTAGGTTGTGTCTTCATTCTGATTGGTTTTAAAGAACATCTTTATTCTGCCTTTATTTCATTGTTTATCCAGTCAACACTCAGAAGCAAGTTGTTCAGTTTCCAAGTGGTTGTGCAGATTTGAGTGTGTTTCTTAATCCTGAGTTCTAATCTGATTGGGCTGTGGTCTGATAGACTGTTTGTTATGATTTCCATTCTTTTGCATTTGCTGAGGAGTGATTTACTGCCAATGATGCAGCAGTTGCAATCCTAGTCTCTCATAAAACGGACTTCAAGCCAACAAAGATCAAAAGAGACAAAGAAGGACACTACGTAATGGTAAAAGGATCAATCCAACAGGAAGAGCTAACTATCCTGTTATTACAGGATTGTAAAATTGTAAAATTATTACAATTTTAAAGTAAGTGTGATGTGGTGCTGAGAAAAATGTATATTCTGTGGATTTGAGTGGAGCGTTCTGTATATGTCTATTAGGTCCACTTGGTCCAGTTCAGCATTGAAGTCCTGGATGTCCTTGTTAATTTCTGTCTTGTTGATCTCTCTAATATTGACAGTGGAGTGTTGAAGTCTCCCATTATTATTGTGTGGGAGTCTAAGTCGTGTTTTAGGTCGTTAAGAACTTGCTTTATGCATCTGGGTGCTCCTGTGTTGGGTGTGTATATATTTAGGATAGTTAGCTCTTCCTGTTGGATTGATCCTTTTACCATTACGTAGTGTCCTTCTTTGTCTCTTTTGATCTTTGTTGGCTTGAAGTCCGTTTTATGAGAGACTAGGATTGCAACTGCTGCATTTTTTTTTTTATTCCCCATTTGCTTGGTAAATCTTCTTCCACCCCTTTGAGTCTATGTGTGTCTTTGTATATGAGATGGGTTTCCTGAATACAGCACACCAATGGGTCTTGACTTTTTATCCAGTTTGCCAGTCTATGTCTTTTGATTGGGGCATTTAGACCATTTACATTCAATGTTAATATTGTTATGTGAGAATTTGATCCTGCCATTTTGTTACTGGCTGGTTTTCTTGCCCGTTAACTGACTCATTTTCTTCATTGCATTTTTGGTCTTTGCTTTTTGGTGTGCTTTTTCAGTGGCTGATACTTGTTCCTTTCCATGCTTAGTGTTTGTTTCAGGAGCTCTTGTAGGGCAGGTCTGGTGGTCACAAAATCTCTCAGTAATTGCTTGACCTTGAAGGATTTTATTTCTCCGTCACTTATGAAGCTTAGTTTGGCTGGATATGAGATTCTGGGTTGAAAGTTCTTTTCTTTAAGGAGGTTGAATATTGTCCCCCACTCTCTTCTGGCTTGTAGGGTTTCTGCTGAGAGATCCGCTGTGAGCCTGATTGACTTCCCTCTGTGGGTGACCTG